AAAAAAAAAGTGGTAAAAAGAGGGTAGACTGCTTATTACTTTCACTAGAATACCACTCCAGGCTTTTGCTGCCGAGCTGACATGAATGTTAAGGATATAAAGTACTGACAGAATGTGCATGTCATCTGTGAGTGTGGAGTGATGTGACGTCCCCTTCCTTCATGTCACTTTGCTTGCGTGTGTAGTGTCAGTGTGTGCACTTTTAGAAACTGTTTGCATTGTCATGTGTGCAGTTAGACTCCCCTAAAAACCCGTCCTCCTGGCATCAGGGTGAAGTGTTGCACTTGCCTTCTTTCTCTAGGCTTTGCTACCGGAGCAGCGAGCAGTGCATGCAGATTCCTACAGAAGGATTGGGCACCTGTGACACGGGGCTGCTATGGATGCAGCTGGTTCCCATGGCAGACTCAGACGCTCACACCCACACATGCACACACAGCACACAGAGACATAAGCTGAGACCCCTGGGAACCAAGTGCTTTGCAATGATTCGGTTACCATTTTTACTGAAGCCTTCGCAGTATTATGTCTCTTATTTATTTCTGTAGAAATGACAGATTTTGTGAATCACATTCACAAACTTCAGGTTGTTATAAATCACTTTTATTTAAAGAGTGTGGATTTAAGATTCTTGAAAGGATGTATTCTATATATTTTCTCATTCCATATGTTGTAATTATTTTTAACAGAAGGTACTACTTTTATATATGGAATTTGAAAAAAATCAGGGTTATTTATACTGTTTTGTATAAGATGTATGATAATTTTTGACAGGGAAAAGAAACATTTTGATGAAACAATAAAATAAACTTTAAATATATGACTGTCTTTGTTTTTCCTTTTTTTCCTCACTCTTTTGCCATATTCCACATTCTTAGAATTATCTGTTACGGTTTTCTGTTTTGCTATATTTTCTTAGGACAGTAGACATCAAAAAATTTCATTATGTCTGAACCTTAAGAACTCACTAGCTATTGTCATTCTTTTATTATTGGTTACGAAAATTTGTCTTATTTTTTCATAAAACAAAAAATTGGTATTTCAGGGGAAAACACCCATTATATCATTTTTACATATAGGCCTTTTGAAAAGCTAGATATCCAAGGCCTAATTTATTGAAATTCGCTTTTTGCATTGGGCTTCTGCCTAGTACTTCTGCCTTCAAATTAATCACATGGTTCATTTATGATTAAGGGCTCTTATTTAATATCCAAGCAAATATAGGCTTTCAATTTGTTTTGTCATCCTGCATGTTGTATTTTAAGGTATGCCTTTTGAAGAATATTTAACCATCAACATTCGATCTATGCTTAAAGCGCTGATGCACTGGCTGTGATCTAGCATTCCTTATGTAGACGTTTTGGTGAACAGAGGGGGACAGTCAGTCGCACTCAGACCTCTCTTCCGGTCACTGTCCTTTCCCCACCCACATCCTCCTTAAGCCATCACTGGTGTGGGACAAGGAGGAGCGGCCAGCGCTCTTTGCCCACCTTGTGGTTTTTATCTAGGAGTGATCTGTGGCGAGCAATTCTTGATTTTCAGTCTGCTCTGATGAGAAATTCACTTCCTAGCCCAGATGTTTGCTTCACATTGAGAAGACAAACTGGGAAACAAATGACCAAGATACTGACGAGGGGAGGATTATGAAGGGAAAAAAGTCCTCCCAGGGATCAGTCATTTCAAAGGAAAAACAGACCTGTGTTTCTGTGTTGATCGGGAACATGAGGCAGCCTCAGGTAGAGCCAGTGTCTCTTTGCTGTGAAGACCCCCACGGTATCACAGAGACCCAAGCCACAGCGGAAGCCATCGTCATCCTTTAACTTGCTTTGGATACTCATTTCACTAGAAGAAGTGCACACAGGTGCACTTCTTTTATGGGTCTTAAGCATTTTGCTTTTTATCAGGGCACAATGGTATCACAGGTAAGAGTCTCTTTGTTTGATTCTTTCTCTGATAGGGCTACTTTTCTTACATGCACAATCCATGTGGTATTCAGAACTCTCCTTCCATCAGAAATCCATCCTTTCTGTTATCAAAGCAAAACTTCAGCTGTCCTTTCTATAGGCGTCCTATGGGGAGAATAAGCCTCTGGTGTTTCGAACGTGGCGTGATTGTCAAAGGTTGATACACCTTCTTTCTTTTCTGCAGGGAAGCCAGGAACAACTGGTAACGCTGATGGAAGAACGGATGATAGAAGTTGAACAGAAATTGAAACTAGTGAAGAGGCTTCTTCAAGAGAAAGTGAATCAGCTCAAAGAACAAGTGAGCCCCCCGAGTCCTCTCTGTCCGTCCACCTCATATCCCAGGTTTAACTCCACTTTCACACCCCTCTATTCCCATTAACTCGTGTTGTCTAATAAAGGCAAATTCTACTGTAGTGTCTAAGAGAACTCAGGACCCACTCTCCCTCACACCGCTCCAAAAATACGAATTCTGTAATCTACATTTTTTCCAGAGCTCTTTTACAACATATGTTTGTCCACAATTTTAACATATTTGCTAACAGTATCTCTTATGGATCTACTACATCCCTAATGAGCTTCTGTGGCTCAGACTGAATGTGTACATCTTACATTTCTCTGCCCAAGGTAGTGTGCCTATTCAAATAGAAACATGATACTGGTTTAAAAGAAATTGAGGGGAGGGGTAAAAAGTAGAACTTCAGCTTTCCGGTTCCCAGTAGCTTGTGACAACCTCAAAAAGCACCTTATCAGACCCTGAAAGGATGTGTTTTCAATAGAATCTGGACCCCAAATTCCAGACTAGTAAGCACCTGCTGGTGGCGGATGTGGCCTAAGTGTTTCAGGTTAGTTGTGCATCCACTGAGATACTCCGGGAGGACCACCTCCTAGGACCATGTTAGAGCATCTCTGGAAACAGACTGAGACAGACTGGTGGTGACTTTGTAGATAAACATTTTTAAAAAGCATGATCATCCCAAGACAAGGTCTGAATGCAGATGCAGACAAGAATTCTCCTTTGCCCTTAATCTTAATAAACAGAAAAAAGCAGACGGTCCTATTAATGAGGAGTTGCCCATTCAACCCTGTAAGTATTCATTCATTCAGTTGTGTTACTGTGCTCCCAAATTGTGTGTTAGGTACTGGAGAAGCAGCAATGAGAAAAGAGAGAAGATCCCTACCCTTATTGAATTAAAATCTAGCACACCTACAAGGTGCCACGCATTTGCCTGATGACAGGGTCAAAAATAAAATAGGGTCAGCTCTATTTTCAGTGGAAGAGAACACAAGAGAAAAGACACTTGATCCAACCCGTTCCCACCACCTTGAACCACCAGAGGTACATGTGTGACTGTTCCATTGGGTCTCTTGTACCATCCGATCAGACCATGCCTTGCTGCTCCATAGGACAGTCATGCATGTACCACTGGTGATGCAGGCTGCCCAGCAGCAAGACATCTAAATCACGGCCCCATCGTGAACGTGTGCAAGCTTCCCGTGGGCCTCTTAAATGGAGTCCTGAGGATAGTGACAGGTGAAAACATGTGGGAAGGGCATGCCAAACTGTGGAAACATCAAGGAGTTAGGAAAATCAAGTGTAGGGGGGGAGCATCTAAAAACACTGGGCACTGGCCAGGCTGTAGTGCCATCCTGGGAGAGGAGAAAAGAGAAAAGAGACTGCAGTTGTTACCCAAGTGAAGTTCATTCTGTTGTGAAAAGCAGTTGAAGTGATTCTTAATAAAAGGGAGAGAAGGAAAGAAAAGCAGTATTAGAACATTCCAACAAGGAGTGGGCTCTGAAATGTTAGTATGTGTGGCCTGCCAGGCCCTGGGTTGTTATTCACCTGGGAAATGCTAGTTAGTCTTTCTGTGCTGGCTCTTTATTCCCTTAAGCCTTTATTCCTTTAGAGGCTCTGCTTGAATCTAGGTATAAAGTGAGGACTTAAAGTACGATGTGAGTAAAGGAGATTGAAGATATTAACAGGAGCGATGTAAGAAATAGTCTCCCAGTTTGCTAACAAGTTTTCCTACCCCCAACCTAGACTAAATATTCTAACTGTAAGGATTGGAATATACCCTCTAGGCAGGGCCCTCTGAAGAAAATTGCCCAAGTCTCATCTTTGTTATAATTCATGAGCCAAATTCTGCAATAATCAGTAGATTATTCTTATGAACGGAAACCTTACACACTTGCTAAAAGCAGAGTTTGTACCTCAAAAATTTAAGTTAGAAAGGTCCTGCTAATTTTAGAAAGTAAAGGATAACACCTCATTTATTTAGGCGGGGGAAAGACATTTTGGAGACCTTTAACAGCAATCTGTTACTCTTCTTACTAACATTTACAAACATATTATGTAAAGAAACAGCTTGGAAAAAGTGGGTTTGTGTCACTCGCAACCCGGATGCCAAATCTGATGTTAAAGCTACAGCGTAAAATAAAAAATCTAGTGGAGAATTGACTTTGCCTTTATAAAACAACCGACCTACACCAGCCCTTAAACTCAAAAGCATTGTTACAGAAATGGGATCAAGATGTTTCTGGTTCTGTTTCTAGCTCTGCAAGAACACTAAAGCAGATACAGTGGTGAAGGATTTGTATGTTGAAAATGCTCAGTTGTTGAAAGCTCTGGAAATGACTGAACAGCGACAGAAAACAGCAGAGAAGAAAAATTACCTCCTAGAAGAGAAGATTGCCAGCCTCAGTAACATAGTCAGGAATCTGACACCAGCGCCCTTGACTTCTACGCCTCCTTTGAGGTCATAGCCACACCAAAAGATGCACTCTCTTTTGTGCACTTTACTGAAATAGGTGGAACATTTCACTAGGTTCCCTTAACCCTCTTTAAAAAAAAACAAAAACCCTTAAGGGCTTAAAATTAAAACTAAGCCGAAGTCTGCCGTTCATCATAGCAAGTTTTTTAAAATAGACTCTTGTGGGAATTCCAACAAACAATCACATATTTCACTGTTTATTCAGAAGCTCTGAATTTATTTTTGAAGTGTTCTACTAGTAGCTACCAAGAAGATGAATGTATAAAACAATTTCAGAACCTTAAAATCCCATTTTAATGTATTTTTTAAAAGTCACTATGATATATCAACTGTGTAGAGTCTGGATATTTTCTAAGTTTGAGACCTGATTAAAATGGTTACTAAGAACTATCTTAAAATCAAATGTAGGCGTTACACATTTAAACACTGAAGAGCCACTCTGGTTGTAGTAGTTTGGGGTTTTTAAAGTAATTGGTAGACTGTACTTCTGCTTGATAAGAAGGCTGGACTCGGAAACCAGCGAGGTCAGGAAAGCCCAAGTTTGCAGAACTCTACTTTCCAACACCTGCTACTACTCGTGATGTATTATAGATTAAGAACTGATACATTTAAGCTATAGTTGAGTGTTACTACCCTTGATGTATGATAGATTTAGAATGGATTTACTCAACTGCACTCATAACTAATGTTAAAGCTTTACTTTTTTTAAACAGCCTTTTTCTTCCTCCTCTTAGAAGTTTCATTTGGGACCTTGTCTTCTAAGAAATGGATAAAGCCACATTCTTAAAGCATCTGAACTATAGGGAGAGCCCTGAACAAATTACTTGGGAGTAAGCAGCCACTTTTGAAGAGGGATATGCAGACCATGGGGTTCTCCTACGTCTAAAGTCTTAAAATTCATGGACCTACCTTTGAGGATGCCTCAAGAACTCAGGGAACAATTCTTTATACTCTTCCTGATCTACTGTTGGGCTTCTCTAAGAGTTTGGAATGTATAAACCGTGTGACCTTATTTATTTTATGTATTTACAGCCATGGCATTTTTATTTCTACATTTTAGTGCATTTAATTGTCTGAAAGAGGCCTTGATCTTAGAAGCGAAAACTTCTTCTAACTTATAGATTAGTTTCTATTGTTTGTTTAATACAGGTCAAAATTTCCAAGCTTCTTACCCTTCTATACCTCAGATCTGATGGCAAGAGTTTCTTACTGTTGTTCGCGCTGGCATGCCATTCGTGGGAAGGTCGTGCAAGACAGGATTGTCCATCCATTCCCGAGATCAGAACTTACAGCACAGTAAATATTCTAGACTGGATAACACACTGCCTGCCTCATCCCTGTTAAAATCTCCACTTCTAGCCTACTTTCTCCGGCAATTAGTGGAGGACTTAAAAGGTGCAGGACACTACCAAAGGTCATCATACCCACCTACTTGCTTTTACAAGACAGTACATCAAAAATTTCACTTTGATGTATTCCCGGAAGTTCAAACTCATCTATTGACAGGAGCTATAAACAAAATAACCAAACACTGCTTTATCAGCAGGAACATAGGATAGAGCAAGCTGCCTAAGAAGTCATATAGCCGTCAGACCTTCAATCTCAACAAAACAATTTCTATAAAGGAACTTCTTCCTCAGGGCCTAACCACCTGTCAGTCTCAGCTGCCAGTAGGAGTCCTCACTGTACAAGTCCTTGACAAGGCCCTCCTGTTTGTGGGACTAGGAGTTCATACTGGTAAAGGAGACATTTCAACTTTTGAACAGCTCTTCTTATCCCTCAGAAAAAGAATTTTCATTCTTCCTTATAATTACTCTTCAAACTATTTGACATCTGCTATCACACCTTCTCTAAATCCCTACCATGTAAATAAACTCAACTACTTGTATGGCACTGGCATTAATAGAAAGTTTTTTCACTTAAAATTTTGGAGAGCCCTAGGCCAAGGGCAAGGTACAACCTAAGCATCTGTGGTGTGCTTATATGGTTGCTTCAGGTTAGTCAATGTTATTACCACTGAAACTGAACACAAAGCATATTTCCCAAGTAGCTGGCTTAGTATGTGATCACATTTATTGTATTTGTTTATTTTTTACATTATGAAAAGTGTAGGTCAATTTGTTTCCTATAAATTTGTATTTATTTATATATAAAATGCTGTACAATAAATGTAAATAAGACATTTTGGGAAGTTTTAGACTACATTTAGATTACATTTATCCAAAATTAAAATAGTACTCAAATGAAAATTTAGCCAATAGGCGATTTGTTGCTTTTACCTACTAACAAAATTGGGGGAAAAGTCATGAGAAATATCATACAGATACCTTAAATTTATATATTTGTGCAACAGTTTATTTTTGAGACACAGTTTAGAGTGGGAGTTTAACTGCCCATTTCTAATATAGCAATGGCTTTTAGGATACTAAAAAGATTTTAAATTTAAAATGTTAAAATTATGTTTAGATTTCGCTTTCAGACTTCTTAAATGGCACGCTTCAAAATCAAGTTATATATTTTATAGGAATTCAGATTTTTTTATTAAAAGCACTGGTTGTTAAATTTATTTTAATGTAATAGTAATTATTTAAGATTTTCCTATAAGATCAGATCTTCATTTCAAGGACAAAGAATCAAATTTACCTTTGCAATACTGTATTGCCCTGCGCAAAGGAAAATATGGGTGATAAGACCTCCATTATCCTATTTTACTTTCTTCTGCTTTTTAAAAGTCTGGGCTCTTAAGCTCAAATTTGTGAAGAGAGAGAAGTAGAAAGTATAGAACCAACCACAGTATTTTATTTATTTTTCTAACGCTCTTATTAAATCCAGACTTTAAAAACTGTTTTAAATGTGAACGCTTCGCAAGAGCTTCAATACACTGTTTATATATTCAACCAGCAGCATACTTTACATAAGTAGATCATGAAATTATAGGCTTTCAGGGTATCAAAAATGCATCAAGGCCCAGGGCAGGAATTATTTTGAGAAGTTGCTTTTGTTTTAAGAAAGTTATAAGGCTTTCTGGCAGAGTTTGGCTTTTTGACATGTAAAAAATGAATTTGTAATTTCTCTTTTTATTTTGCTGAGTGAAGAAAAAAGAAATACACTGCTATGGTCAGGTATGAAGCAAGTCATGTTATGAGTGGATTACCTGTAATGAGTGACTCATTGGAATGATGTAATTATACAAGCAATGCCAAAAACCAAATCAAAACCTAATAACCAAAGCATTCACATTTAAAATATTATATCCTGTTTGGACCTCTTTGAACATTTCAGTGCTGAAAAATAATTTTTATTTTGTGGCATAGGAATAATTGTTTGATAACATCAAAATTAGATGTTTTGTTTTTCAGCTCTTTGGATGATACAAGTTAAATTTGCTCTTCTCTTTTTTTCCGGTACCAGAAATTGAACTCGGGACCTTGCGCTTGCCAGGCAGGCGCTGTGCAACTGAGCCATATCACCGGCTAAATTTGTTTTTACTGGGGAGACATTATTACAGCATGATTTAAGGGGACATTAGTTTTGGAAAGGAAAACTTGAGTTCACCTACAGTCATCTCTAGAATTTGGTTCACATACAAAATAATGTATATGTGTTTATATCAGTTGTATATATCTCATCTTAGCCATTGTATCCTAGAAACTTTAATGTGACTCTAAATGTAAATAAATAATTTTCCAAGCATGCCTCTTGTTTTCTACATATCCTAGACTTTTATAAACACTTTCAATGTGTTTACCAATAGTCTTGAGAATGAAATCAAAATATTACACCAAACACATTGTAGAAATGCAGAATTTCAGACTGCACTCCAGAGTACTAAATCGATATTTGTATTTTAAGACCTCCAAGTGATACGTTTGTGATTTAGAACACGGATTAAGAAGCGATGACTTCCACACCAGCTGCTTTTGGGTTCCTGTATACTGTGGCAGTAAATAATTACTTGCAGAACCCTGACTTAACCTCAGGCAAGGCCCAGCTTGGGATATTGGATGCTTTAGAGGAGGCTTTATTTCACTTTGCCATCTTTGTGGGTGAGCACTTTCATGTCCTCACAGGCTTGTAGCCACTTAGATAAATGACCTGAAATCTGCACACATTTAGCTGCTTAAGAGAGATGCAATTAGAGACACAAAAATCTAACCTGAAAGCACGTTGTTAATATACTGAAAGCGGAAGTTCATCTCGGGAATCTTTTTTATATCAACCTCACACTTGTTTTGTGATTCAGGACCTATTATCCCCATTTTACGGATGAGAAAACTGAAGCTTAGCCATATTGTGACTTACTCAAAGCCAGTGACTGAGAACTCATGTTCCAGCTTTGTCTGTGTTAATATGCTGCAGGACTCGTATCTCTTCTGACTTCTGGCAGAACAGCATTTAATCGGGGTTAATTCAATAACTATCTATACACTGCACTCTAGAGAAAAATAGTAAACATTCCAAAGGGGAGATCCAAGGTGGTAAAGGCACCCAGCACTCACCTCATCCTCCACAAAGAACCAAAGTGGCAGGCGTTGTAAAGCTGGATTTTGAGGTGAGTGACTGGAGGAACACTAGAAATTAGAGAAATTAGAACATTCAGAAACATGGGACAACAACATGAAAAAACAAAATGCCTCATAACCTACCGCCCCATCTACCACTTCAGCTTCACAGCGGGGAGGGAAAGTCTCCAGTTTGCAAAAATATGGGTTAAAGAAGGAAATTCTGTCAATGTAGATTCTGGAAGTCTTCGATACTGGAAAGTTTCGTGCCTCACAGGCTTGTAGCTACTTAGATTAAAAAAAAAAAAAAATCTGCACAGTATCCTTGCTTTGGAAGAGAATTTTAAAGCGTCTCCCAGTGACCTCCCTGCAACTAGGAGCCTTCTTGGAAAGTGAGCCATTGTCTGAGTACAAAGTGCGGTAGGCCCAGAAACGTGTGCATGTTTCCCTCTGAGGGACTCCACAGACATTGCTGGCTCAGTGGGTAGCCTGGCAAACCTAACGGGCCAGCAGAGTGATGTGACCCAAATCCACTGAGTGCCTTGGACTGTAAGGCACGGGTATTGCAACACAGAAAAGGAAGGTGCTGCTCTCCAGAACCAGGAGAATGGGGTACTTTTCTCCTGAGACCTTGAGTGTCTTCTTCTGTGTCTGGATCCATGTAGTACCAACACTGAAAGCAGGAGACTATACAGTCCCCACCTCCCTCCCACCATGCGTCACTCAGGTGGGGGGGCACCATGGCTGTCCCACCCACAGGGGGGTGCCCTTGAGAAACGCCATGGCCCCAGCTGTTGACCTGCCTCTGATTATACACGATAGCTGAAAGAATGTTGGGAGAGGGCGTTTGCCCATCCCTGGGCATACAGTGGTCAAAGAGAACAGAGGGAAACTTACCCATTGCTATCTGAAGTCCCACGCCTGGGCATGAACTGCCACCAGCAAAAAGGAACACCTTGATTGCCCCCAATATCTTCTTTTTTTTTTTTTTTTTGTACCAGGAATCAAACTCAGGACCTTGCACTTGCCAGGCAGGCACCTGTGCCACTGAGCTATATCCCCAGCCCCTGATATTTATGTAGTTCCCACTGCCCTACCGCAGACCTTGCTGGACCACACACTGCTATCAGAAGTTGGTGGGAGCTACAAAGCAGGTGCTGTGATTCCAGTCACACCCTCTCTTCCCACATAGCATCTGGACCTGCAAGACTGACTAGTCAGAGGACACATGGTTTAGGTCCCCTCATTACTGTTAGGGCCATATTGCAAGAAGCTCTTGATAGCAGAGCTAAATGTACCTAAGGAAATCCCCATTGCTCCATAAAGGTAGACACAGTAGTCTAGGAAGAAGTCCCCATAGCCACTACTGTCTGCACCATATATGCTTCAGCTTCTAGAGTGTGCTTACCCTTGCATGGCCCCAGAAACAAAGGGTCTCTCTCAGACACCACCATGGTACACACTTGGGCACCATGGTGCCCAAGGTCTTTGACCATAGTCCAAGAAGCTATAGAGAAAATACACTATGGCTTCAAACTGAAAATAAAGCCAATGTTGCATAACAAACCAACACCCCAAGACATATGTTCAGGAAAAAGTTACTTATTGAGAAGGACACCCCATAAAAGTGGTAAGGGTACCTGATCGACCAGACATAAAAATCTCAACATAGGAACACAACAGATAGGAAACAAAATAATATGATGCCTCCAAGAGAACATACTTTCAAGCAGGAGATCCCAAAGAAATCAGTATGGATGAGATGCCCAATAAAGAATTTAAGAGAATGATTATTTTTAAATCTCAGATCAAAAGGAATACAAATAAATAGTTAAGTAAAATTAAGAAGATAATGCAGGACATGAATGAGAAATTAATCAAAGAGTTTTAAATTTTGAAAAAGAACCAAAAATCATGGAAATGAAGCAATTGATAGCCTCAACAGACTAGATCAAATAGAAGAAAAAAATACTTGAAGGCAATTCTTTTTAAATATTCCAATCAGACAGCTTAAATGACCAAATAGTGATATTTCTGGAACTCTCAAATATGAGAGGAGAATTTGATAGCATACAGAAAACTAGTCAATGAAATAATATCAGAAAACCTCTCTAATTTTGGGAAAGATGTGCCATTCAGTTATCAGAGCTTTGTAGGGCCTCAGGTAAACATAAGCAGAAAAGCTCTTCACCCTGGCATATTACAGTCAAATTATCAAAAGTACAAGACAAAGAAAAAAAACTCTAAAATCTATAAGGGAAAAGTATCAAATTACACTTAGATCATGCAGGTTTCTTGCAGGAGCCCTACACAGCACAAGAGAAAGGTATTCTATAATCCATATCCTGAAACAAAATACTGAAGGCAGGCACTCATGCAACAAGAAACTACACCCAAGGAACAAGAATACTATATCAAGCAAGGCTAACCTTCAGAATAAAGGAAAATAAATTAGTTCAAGACAGACTAAAACAGAGAATTCAAGACTACCACACCAACCTTACAAAAGATAAGGGACAGCCAGAGATATACCTCAGTGGCACAAGTGCCTGCGTGGCAATGAAGAAATAACCTACAGAATGGGAGAAAACAGTAGCCAATTATTTATCTCAGGGTTAATATTCAGAATATAATGAATTTAAAACCTTTTTGGCACACGAGCAGCCCAATTAAAAATGGGTAAATTATTTGAATAGACATTTCACAAAAGAAAAATACAAATAGTCAACAAATATGTAAAAAGATGCTAAATATAATTAACCATCAGAGAAATGTAAAGCAAACTTACAAGAAGATACTATCTTACCCCAGTTAGAATGACCATTATCAAAAAACAAAAAATCATTCTTGTGAGGATGTGGAGAAAAAGGAATTCTTATACACTGCTGGTGGGAATATAAATTAGTACAGCCATCATGTATAACAGTATGGAGATTTCTAGAGCTACCGTATGATCCAGTTATCCCACTTCTTGAAGTGAAATCAGTGAAAGGAGGTGAAATCAGTATACCAAATCTGTTCCTATGTTTATTATGGCAGTAGTCACAACACTTAGATAAACAATCAAACTAGGTGCCCATCAACAAATGAATAGAGAAAATGTGATTATATATACACCATAGAGTATTATTCAGCTATAAATAAGAATGAAATTCTGTTGTGACACTGTACTAAATTAAATAAGCCAGACCAAGAAAAAAAAAGTACCATCTATTCTCTCTCATACATGGAAGCTACAAAAAGGCAACCTAGGAGAAGAGTAATTAGTAGAGATTGGGAAGGATGTGGGAACAGGAGGGTGGAAAAGAGAGGCTGGGTTTGGTCACGGCATGCTGTGTGTATCAGTCATGATAAACCCCATTAATATCTACAGTTAGTACACATTAAGTCTCCCTTCCCTCTCCCTTCTTTGCTGGTATAAAAATATCATTAACACCTCCTTTTTCTCTTTCCTTCTTAATTTTTTTCTTTTCTTATTCTTTTTCCTCTTTTTTTCCCCCAGCCTACCCAATATTATGACTATTCTTTTATCTTCCTGGGTTAGTAAAAGAATAGAGAACTTTTAAAACAAGTTTTACATTATATTCTGATATACAGTTAGTTTGTGGATCTCAATAGTACTTGTAGGGGACAATGACTCTTAACATATCATTTTAAGATAGAATAATTCTAGTCTTAATGCAAGCCTCAAAATGTGTCTTGAGAAACATCCCGGAGGGTTATAAAGAGTTTGCAGTCCTGACTTAGCCCTGGAATGCTTAAGACAACACCAGGGCCCAGATAACCACCTATGACCCTGCCTGGGTTGTTTCATCCCTCCCCTGGCCCTAGATAACCATTGTAACCATAAAGGAAATGTATGGTTATCTAAAGGAGGACATATAAAACAGAGTACAGAAAGTATATATCATTGTGGTTGGACTCATGACCGGAGCCTGACCCAGTCATGTGGCACAAGGAAAACAACATGTGGCCAGGGCTACAACATTCCAATCTGTTACCATGGAAACCAAAAATGTATATAAGTTGGGAACAAAGGCAGGTCCAGGCCCACTTCCCTGACTTGCAAGTCGGGATGAGAGGTGACCGGTCTAAATTAAAACTTTGTCTGTTCTCTTTGGTCTCTTGTGGAATACAGCCCAAATTTTTGCCGTAATATACTCTCTACAGTACAGCATTAGGGATTGAACCTCGTAGTTTGAACGGGTTGCGTGGATGCTTTAACAGAGTCACACCAAAGCCAAGGGCACATCACAGGGACAGAGCCTGTGAGAAGAGTCCAGTGAAGGAGGAATACAGATGCAATGTTCACGATAAAGGAGAAGACTCTGAGGGGACAGGGAAAGGAGGCAGTGAACACGAGCTGGCTGCGGGCACGAGTGATGCGCACTGAGATAAGATACCATCTTACTCCAGAAAGAATGGTTGTTATCAAATAATCAAATAAGAACATGCTGGTGAGGCTGCATGGGGGGAAAAAGGAAGCCATCTGCTTTGTTGGTAGGAATGTAAACTACTACAACCACTATGGAGATCAACATGCAGATTCCTCCAATAACTAAAAATAGAAATTCCATTGGACCCAGCTATCCTCTTTCTAGGTATTTTCCCAAAAGAATTAAAGTCATCATATTACAGTGCTACATGCATACTCAGTAGCTTTGTTGTAATGGCCCCAAACTGAAAGCAACCCAAATGGCCATCAATAAATGAGTGAATTAACAAATTATAGCATATCCATACAATGAACTATTCCAGTGAAAATGAGTGAGCTACTGTGCACAGAACATGGATGAATCCCCAGATAATTATTTCTAAAGAAACTAGATGAAAAATTTATGCCATATAATTAATTTATATAAACTTCAAGCACTTGTAAACTGAGCTGTAGTGACATAAAGCACACAGGATTGTGGGGAGAACACAAACAGTGACAAGGAATCTTCTTGGGACAGGGCTATGTTCATTATCTTTACTGTGGTGATGGTTTTTCTAGATTTATCCATGTCAAAGTATAATAACTGTATGTGGTTGTACACACCTGCAATCCCAGCATTCTAGGAGGCTGAG